AGCAACCAACCCCCAGTAGTTCACTGCTCGCAAAGCTGCTCTGACAACATATGGCCTCTTCTCATGAGCTTGTTTCTGTTGTTATCACAATATTTGTAACTACCTACCTCTGTGCCCTGACTTTAGAGAGACCCAGGTGCTTGCACTTCTCTTTGCAAATTAAAAGAAACCACCACCTTCTTTGCATGTCTCTGTGGAGAAGAAAATGCACCTTTGCAGTGTGCTTACAAAAATAAATCCCCAGCTGCAGCTTTGGAGATTGAAGAAAGAATGACAATAAATTTTTCCAAATAGCTTTTGCCCTGGCAGAAAGCCCAGGAATAGCTGCAAGGACAGGCCGTCCTTTGGGAGATGAATGCTCCCTCAACACTGCTGAGGTGGACTGGTAGAAAGAAAATGTAGGTTATTCTGATCGCAACAATTTCATGCAGTGGTAGTCCAGCCACAGTGCCCCCTCCCCCAGCCCCAAAGCCATATCAGCACCAGAGAGGAGTCACGTGCCTCTTGAAAAAAAAAAAAAAAAGCCTTGTCTCACCTGTGTTTCCCACAGCCTCGTTAATTGTCTCACATTTTCTTTAATTATGGTTCAGCTTCTGTTTTCGGCATATCCATATAGTTTCTCCATTTTGAGATGTCCCTGGCTTTCTAAACCCTCACTGCTGTGTAGCCACCCTTTTCCTCCACTTAATAAAAATGTTCCTAATTCAGAAAGACTTTTAGAGGTGGGAAATCTATATATTTTCTGTCAAAATAACACATTATCTTGCTGTAGGCTTAGGCCTTCAGAAACAACAGGATCTATATTTTCCTTCCTATACACATAACTTCTATGTTGTGTACACCCATTTATTCTTAATGCAGTTCAAGTAGCTTCTAGAGACAACCTACCTTCCTTCCTCCTCCTGATGCATTCATCACGGCCTTGCCATGCAGCCCAGCACATACATTCCTGTTACACTGCATTTCCAGGGCAAAGACAGTCTTGGGGTCTTAACACAAGCATTCCTTGCTGAGCCAAAAAAGCTCTTCTTTGCTGATTTCCCATTGAGATGCTTCAGGCTGTTTAGTTGGACTTTGTGAATTAACAGAGCAGCTAACATAGGCAATAATATTTTGGCTGCTTGGGTATCCCAGGTATGCTGTCTTTGCATTATTTTCAGTGTACTCATGCAGTGTCACAAGCCACTGAATGAAGCTAGGTCTACCCACAAGCTCCAATTTCCCTATTACATAGGTGCACGTTCTCCAAATAATGGCTAGCTGCCTCTCATTTCTCTTTCAGCTGTTGTTCTCCTCTTTCTCACATACACACCCTTTTAAAAAAATGGCAGGGAGCAAGTTCCAAGAACAGCAGGTGCATCAGCTTAATTTATATAGGGCAGAGCATCTCCTAGTTCTTTAGCTCCTCTGCATCTCCAGTGCAGCACATGGACAGTTGGAGAAAGAGACCTAGTCTTTGCCTCCCATTAGAGATATAGATGTACTTTTTGGCATGCAAACAGTTTAGCTCAGGACAGTCCAGCTTGGCTAGATTACTGGTTAGCCCTGCCAACAGCTAATTTGTTCAGAAAAAGGTGCATGTAACCCTGTGGGCAGCTGCAGAGCAACCTTCCTGCTTTTTATTTCCCCTGCCCCCACCAGTTAGTGGTTAGCACTGTTAATCCTATTTAATGTAACTATGGATAGATATGCAAACCTTTAATCCATCTCAAACCTACTAACTCTTCAGGCTGGCTTGGCTGGAGTTCCACGTTCTGAGCTGTAAGCAGGCATTAGGCAGCTTGCTTGCTTTTACACTGCTCATTTTTAATTGAATTGATGGGTCTTCTTATCTCAAAATGAGCAACTTCCTTTTGCTGTAGCTTCTTTGTTTTTCAAGTTATTCAGGGCACTGCTGTGCGCCCTTTCTACTATAACCAATCCCTTATCCAATGTGTTTAGCCTGTCAGTGTAGGTGCTGGTGCTGTGTCAGCAAGACTGAAACCAGTCATGAAAAAGTAACCAGAGAGTAACATTTTGAAAGGTTTCTAGGACCCTCCCCCCCTGGTTTTCCCCCGCAGCTTTTTCAGCATTTCGTCTTGTTTGCCTAAGCAAGTTTTACAGTCTGTCTTTGTTCACTGGCAGCCAGGATTGTTACTGCTATGTCATTTCAGAGGCAAGAAATTGGTTAGAGTCCTGGGCAAGCACGTTTTCTTGGTTTACATCTGCAGTCCTCCCCCCTCCAGATAATGCTGATATTAGCTGTTGTTGCTTTCCACACTAAAGACTAGCTGATACAGCAGAGGCTGTATCGGCTTACATTAGCTTGTACCTGTCTAAAATTTTCCTCTGTGCTTTTCATTCACATAACAGAGGGTGCAACAGGCCATTAATCAGCTTGATGAATCTTACTCACAATGAGCTAGCTCAACACTGAGGGGAACTATTCTGCCTCCTCTAAACCATTTCCCTGGTAAGGTTCTACCATGTTAATAACACTCCAGAGCTTTTATTTGCATTTATATTAAAGCTTCTGCTGCTGCCTCCCATTCCAACGCCCTGCTGCATGTGGGGGGGGATGCACTGTAAAATGGCACCCTCCTCCTTCTTCTGCAGTTCAGCTATCTCTATTTTTTGATGCAGGATGATCAGCGGGTGTCGCAGAGCTGGGAAGAGAGCCAGCAGCCCGATGAGCTCAGCCAACACATGGCCCCGTCCCTGCAGCAGCGGGACACCTCCCTGTGCTGGTGCTCGCAGCTGCGCGGGAGAAAAATGCTGTCCAGCAGGTCCGAGGGTTGTGGGCTGCAGCGTCTTACCTTCCAGCGTGGGAACTGGAGGTTGGAGGCCAACTAGGAAAAGCAGCTATGGCACCTGCTTCTTCCCTAATCCTCTCTTCTCTCATACATGGGACAGAAAAGTCTGGCTGAAAGAACAGAGATGGCACAGGTTGCTCCAAGGTATCCGCCTCCCAGGGTCCCAGCACAGCAAGGAGCTGCCATGCTCTAAGCATGACTAGACCGTCTGGAGTACAAGAAGATACATAGCCCTAGCTTACCACCAGGTACATGTAACTGTCTGGTGCTTATTCTCCCCTCTAGCTTAAAGACATTCCCCTCAGGGACCAACTCCTGTCCTCAACTACAGCTGTTCCTCTTTCACAGGAGCTTCTGCTCTGCTAGAGAGGATGAAAATCAAGGCTAGAACATGACAGATCTCTGCCCTTGCAGAAGATGGGTGACCTAGAGCCACCCGTACACTTCTGCTTGCTTTTCCTTCCTCCCGCAAAATAAAGTTTAATTTATTTAAGAATACTGTTGGCTGTACAACCAAGTTTGATTTCAGATGGAAAAATCCAGTCTGCCAGGTAGCTTTACCCTCTTCAACAATATAACGCCTCATGGCATATAGCCACAAGGAATATGCTGATTACTTGTAGTGCTCTAATAGTCTTTCCAACCAGTAACAACAGCTGACATCCAACTTTAAAACTCCACAGATCTGCATGTTATTATACTTGGGTAAAACTGCTCTGGGCCCCACTTTAAAGCTCCTCATTCATTAACAAGCTGGGTTTTATACAAAGTGAGTGAACCATATTATCCTAGTGCTCCTTTCTGCAGCAACAAAGGATAGTTTTGCTTTCCTCAGCCTGCGGAAGAAGGGCCTAGGAGCTGAACAACCACAGAAAAAAGGGTGCATAGGATGAACTGGCAGAGGAGGTGTAGAGGGTGACATGAAGGACCTAAGTAAGGAAAGCCAAATACTGAACATGAGGGCTTGAAACAAAGTAACACTCCAGAAATCTACCTCTTTCAAAACTCAAGTTGTGGCACAGCTGGCTTTTTCACACTGTTGTCGCCATGACAGCTCCACAGAGATGCATGTGTTAGACCAGCTCACATACACTGCAGCAGGCATAGAGTGCTGTGGTTTTAAGGAGACATGTGCTGCATACACATTTTGCTTGACTACTTTTTCAAACTATGAAGAAAACAAACATTATTATTTTACATGTTTTTTAATTTTAGGAGCAAGAACAAACCCAAAAAGAAGGGAACTGGTCTTTGAACTGTTCTATATTTACCACTTTTGGCTGCAGACAATTGAACTTGATTCTATTACAATAAATCCCCTCCCACATGCTATTACACCATTTCCAGTACACACACTTCAGCATGTTCACTATTTCCCCTGTCTGGACCTCATACATCTGGGTGACCTTCTCTCCTATGCAGACAAGAGGGCAAGAACACACAGAAGAGACACAGACTTAAGAGGACAGGACCAGGAATTGTAATCAAAGGGTAGGGAAGTGACACCAAATTCTCTCTAGTGCTGGACATGTAAGCAGCTGCTTCTCAGGTCAGCCAAGCCCCTTGTAATCAACTCCTGGGTTTAACCAAAGCTTGGCATTAGTCCTCCTTACCTCTTTTTTTCCAAAGGGAAGACACTACCCATCTTCTTAAGGGGCAGGAAAGAGCAGTGGCAGGAGCTTCGCAGAAGCACATTTACAATGGTTTAGTACAGAAGTGTCTGCAACAACACTCCCACCTGCTGGGCCTTCTATTTGTTGCAGCCGGGAATTTAGCAGTAGTCCGATAGAAAAAAAAACCCACAACTTCCCTTTAACTCAGCACCACAACCTCTGGCTCAGTTGTTTTTAACTTCATGCCGAGGCTAACATCTGGGTCACAATGCCTCTTGGCTACAGCAGCTGGCAGCGCCAGCTGAACCTCAGTGGGAAAGCTGAGGTATAAGCATCCAAAGAACAACTTTCTCTGTGTAAGACCTCTTCCTTGGAGAGGGGAGACCGTGAGTACGCAAATCAGAGGAGTCATCTCCATTCCAACCTGCACTCTGAGAATGTCAGAGGGAAGATTAAATACAGACATCAACATGAATCAGAGAGGCCATTCATGCAACTGAGTCATCCTAGAGAGGGATGCTTGGATCAGAACAGTGACATGGTTTGTCTTCATAAGTCATAGCCTGTCATGATAATCACTATTACAAAAGCAAGGTGTCTGCAACAATTATTTAATCAAGTTACATATAAAAAGTTTTTGCAATGACTGAAAAACCTGGCAGAGGCTGTAATAAGAACAGAAACTGCAGGGCTATTCAGGTTTAAGTCTTTCAAAGCATCCTTCCCTTCCAATGATTTATTACTGCTGGTTCAGAATACTTCTCCACTCACAGTACTTTAAATGCTGCACGCCAAATAATACAGGTAGCAAAAGCCTTAGATCCTGAGGAAGGGGAAGAAGATTTGTATTTAGCTTGGTCTGCCCTTCTACATTAAGAATGCAAGACATGCTGGCTGGAAGGAGGTAATTAGAAGGACAATACATTTCAGAGCCAAAAGAACCTCTGTGGCTCTAGCTGGCTGCTAACAAGTTCTGCACAGATGCAGAGCTGCTCTTTAAGTGTAACATTAAATCACTTGCTGACAGAGGCATATCTCCAATGTCCCATCTCAAACATGCTGAGGAAATGGCCAGTCCTGTGTGCTGAGCACTCAACTGCAGAAAGACTTGAGTTGCAAGAATTCCTGTCATGTTGTTTATGGTCTCCCAAAGTATTCTCTCTCAAATTTACGGAAATCTTCTTCAGTAAAGACAGTTCCCTCCGGCTTCTTCTTTGCCACCTTCTTTGGAGGCTGATCTTTGGACTTCCTGCCTCTGTTCTGAGCAAGAACCTTCAGGCAATAAAAAAGAAAACCACAAGTCATTGTTACGCAGACCATACCACAAAATGGTGATTTTCAAGCTCACCTGCAGCATCTCTGCTATTCTACTAGTACCCAGCCATAGCCCAGAATGCCTCCAAAGAAAAGCAAGATGCAATCACCGAAGTTAACCACTGAAGGTCACTGGGACAATAGCAAATGCCAAGTTCATATTTGAAGTCACAAATACGAAAACTACTTTTTGGTAACTGTCACAGAGATAGAAACACTGATGGCAGTTCAGACCTTTCTGAAACTATGATCTTCTTTTATCTTGTCTCTCCATGGGACAACCTGAAAACCCAAGAAGTTGGTGGAATTCCCTCAGCATTTTCTAATACACTTTACTTCCTTTCACAATCTCCAGCCCGAGAAACACTGGCCTAAACCACTTGGTTTATGTAAGTTAAAAACCTGTATCTCATAAGAATAGCCCAAGATTCTAGCAATGTCAGCTATTCTCCTCCTCAGATCCTGGCATGTGACTACCCTTTGGGGAAGACCACTGGTTAAATTCTCAGGTTATGTGACACATCGTTCAAGATGCTATGAAATTCCTGTTATGTGAGCCAGCAGCACATCTGGTTCCTTGCTAAACAGTCTCCAGCTACAGAGAAGGCCAGTTCAATTAACAGTAAGTGGAAGGTCTGAACCAGGGCTTCTTTGCTAGCTGAAGCTATAAAATAACTGATAATTAAGAAAAGCCAACAGCTGTCAGTACATTTTAACTGGTATCAGAGAACATCACAGGGGATAACATATCAACAAGAGTTTAAAGTTTTGTAAGTTACAGCACATACAGAAATTCCCCAAGGCCACTTGCAGACAGAAACGTGACTCTTCTGTACAGGGTCTAAGCTGGAGGATCTGGGGATGATTCCCATTCATCCGTGTTCCTCAGCAGAAGCAGACCCCCAAACAATGAAGTGACAGTCTTACCTGTTCTGTAACGGCTTTGTCTGCAACAAATCGTCCCTTCAACATGTACTGCAGGTTTTCTCTCAAGTGATTCACAGCCGCCTTCTTATGATACTCCTCTAGACCAAAGCACAGTGGTACAGAACACATAAGCTGCTCATCCAGGCAGCACAGGAGGATCAGTGAGGCCCCGGGAGAGAGAGGCAACCACTACAACTTAAGGATTGGGGTGCATCCACAGATCAGGCTGTGTTTAAGTAGGGGACACCAGAAGGGCACCCAAGCGACCAGGAGGGTGGCTGCGGGACACCACAAGCAGACCCTGTGCGAGGGCTGTGGAGGGCAGTAAAGACGCTTCTCTCTCTCCCCTCAGAGGCGCGTCGGGACTCACCTATCGCCGACTTCACGACTCTGCCCTTAACTGTGGCCTTGTTCCTCCCGGGATCCCGCGCCCTCTTCCTCCGCCTCGCAGTGCCCACCGCCCTGAGGCCGTCTCGCCCCCGCTGGAGTCCCGGTGGGACCTTTCCCCGGCCTGCAGCGGGAAGTAGGACGGAGTTACTCCCGCCGTACACCGGGAATCACCTCCTCCCTGCCCCATAGTCCCTAGTCCCTGCGCGCTCACCCGGCGCCTCCAGCAGCTCCAAGCCCCGCCGCAGCAGGGAGGCCGACATGAGGGCGCAGTCCCCGTCGGCGGCCAACTTCCGTCTCGTCGCCACACTTCCGCCCGCCCGTGGCGTCACTTCCGGCCGTGCAAGCGCCGCCACGCGCGCGCATGGGGAAAGCTGCGGCGGCGCTGCGGCGGGAGGCAGTGGCGCAGTGGCGGGGCACCGTGTTGCGTGGAGGCTGTCTCAGACGCGGCCTGAGGTAGCGCCGCCCACAGGGAGGGTGCCGCGTTCTTCCTGGTGGCCTTTTCTTACCGACCCCGTCTCCCGCGTCTGTAGCGTGGTGGCCCGGCAGCCGGCCTGCAGGTCCTCTGTGTAACGCCTCGTGGAGCCGCTGCAGTGTGGCCAGAGCTCCGAGTGGCTCCCGCCATCACAGGGATAATGATCATAATAACAGCAGGCCAGGACGACAGCAGCGGCGTCATGTTTTGTCTTGGCGAGGCCCCAAAATCCAGATTTAACTCTCAGGCACAGAGGTTCACTCTGACATAAATTGCATGTATTATTCAGTATTTAGTTATTTAAAGCTTTCTTACCCCTTTTCCACCCCTCTAGAGACTTGATGGTAATATCTGCTAAATTTAGCTATCATCTGAATAAAGCTTATTCAATTATAGCCAGTGCTGGCAGTTATAAACTGGCACTGAAGAAGGAGACGTTTATTCACCCTCAGACATGTACTGCAGGGAGAAAGTGATACAAGCAGCTCTCGTTTTTCATAGTAATGATCTCTAACAGGGACTGATAACAGCTAAACCTCTGTTCATTAAAAGACATTCATTCTCTGAAAATTGTTCTCCAGCCCCTGCAGATGTCACCTCAATGTCTGTCTTAATTGTTCATTCTCTTATTGTTATAAACTGACTTCTTAAATTTGGCTGAGTCAGAGTTTTATTTAGCAAGCGGCAACAAGCAAAACAGCGCTGGGCGGCCAGGGAGTCCCCTGCTCCAACAACAGCTCGCACCTCTCAGGGAATTTTGTCTTAATTTTATACTACAAAGCATTGCATATTCATTAAATGCCTATACATATACATTACCTAATCCCGCCTACTCCCGCTTCGTACAGTAATTAGCTTATCAGTCTTTAACGCTTGCGCAGAAGCGGTCAAAAATACGGGTAAGGGTCTCTAAATTATGGGCGGTGGTCGTCTGGGATGAAGGCCTCAGGTCCTCCTCACAGTGTAATTTTCACCCTTGGCCTGGAATGTGATGATCCACTAAGTCTGCGGTGTCCTTATCAGCCTAGGCCCAGTAGTCTCCTTGAATAAGGAGATTTATGGTCGTGAATACTCCCTTGTTGGCTTAATTGGGCGTCTGCAACTCTTCACACCTCTTTGTGCAGATGCTTCTTCTCTTGTTGTTCACCCTCCTCCTTTCTTCCTGTCACCATATACACTTATAATGTTTAATTCAATTAAACATTTGCTGTTAGTATTACACAACATACAATAGTTCGTATGACCGTTTGCTTTTCTATTGTCTTCCTACTGGATTTGATGAACAGACGATTTGCTACCTATTACATTAGGAATCCCTACCTGGATAGATCCTGGCATCCCATGTCAGTATCTACTGATAGGATGGTGCTAATACATTTTTCTGGACAGGAGCTACTCAGTACTAATTCCTGTTTTCGGGGCTGAGGAATGTTAACCATTTACTGCTTGTTCAGCATGTTGCTTCTCACTCATAATTTTCCTTTTACAGTAATCTGAACTATTTTTTTGATTGAATCAGAGGGACAGTCACTGGGTGTATAACAGAGTGCTTCTCCATTTTCTTGTTCTCCGTTAGCAGCTAGTGGAAGATGGAGCTTCTGCCAGGTTTGTTCCTCCAGTCATGTGAAAGCTAGTGAAGTTACAAGGAGGTTATTATAGTTTTGCAAAGAAGATGAACAAGCAGTGAGATAATAGCCTATTGCTGAAATTGAAGAGAGCACTAGAGAGTATGCTCATGAGCAGAAGATTTGTTACTACTTATATATTCAGGTTATCTTTGTCTTGGTCAGAGTGAGATAAATGATAGCTGGCAGTGATCTCACCATGGGGAAAGCATTTCCAAAAATACCTCATCAGTCAAACACTCTCTTTTAGCCCCTAAAATACAATTTACAGGTTCTTTGTAAGCTGTTCATGGTTACATATTGCATAGTATGTTCAAGATAGCTTATTCTACTGTTTAAACACTACAGTTGCATCATTTAACGTTGTTAGCATCACCTAATACATTGTTATGCATGCTTAATGTCAGAATGGTATAACCTCATAAATGCCTTTATGAGGGCATCTGATGCAAAAAACATCTTCGTTACCACCACAGCAAAACATGTTTAACAAATTAGTGTGGTACAAGCTGCACTGATTTATTATCCTGTTGCTGGAAAATATATGCCCTTTTCTACCTCAGAAATAAACCATTACCAATACTATCCTATTTCAATTTCTGTAGCACCAATTAATAAAGCTCTCAATTATGTAGGTCTCAGAAAATCTGACTCCCTTCTTATTAAATGTCTTCAGTAGCAAGAAACCGTAATACAGGCAACACCTCCTTTGACCAGCAAGGTTGAGTGCAGACTTGCTATGATTTTAGTCAGCAATTACCGGCAGAATAAAATTTAACGAGTGCACAGGGGTCACTCTGCTGAAGAGGGAAGGCAAGGCACTTTCTTTAACTGCATTCACAGTGTCCTGCCTCAGAGTCCGGTCAGGCTCTTGGAGCTAGTTAGTGTACCAAGAAGTTAAATGGACGCATGCTTCATGGTGTGACTCATTCCCCAGGTTTGGATCTGTTGCCAAAGATCACGGTCCAACATGGGCCATGGATTTTTTAACACTTTGTGAAATCATGTACCTATTATTAATACATTACATTTCTTCAGCTCCTTTTAACAGGATCTGGCAACTTTTCTTGGGGCATGATCATTAGTGTTTCTCTTAACTGCATTCTGGCTTCAGCTGTGCTTGGTCTTGGCAGACATGGTGGTAATAGGGTACATCATGTTTCTGGGTGACTTTGGTACAACTAATACCTCTCACATTCCTGCAGACATAGGTGCAGTCTGCCCGTGGTTTTTGAGTTTGCTTACATCTTTTCCCTGCAGTGCTAAACAAGATCAGTTTACAGACTTGCATTGGGAATGTATGATTGTCTCTTAATGTGAACTGCATTTTGCCTGTGTATTATATGTTACTCTTAATCTGTATATACATAGAATTTAGGCATTTGGATCACATAATTTTTTCTCCTACATGTCATAAATTGTAAAATATCCTCTGCTGACCTTAGATTAAGTCAACTAACCTGTCTTTGATAGATCTGCTTTACGTTGAGCACAGCATATAAAATGCTGTATTTGTCTTTGCAGAAGCTACCATGGCTTTATCACCCTCACAGTGATGATATGTTCCTTATTTCATCATGATATATACATGTAACTATTACTTTATTTTTACCTGAATCACTGTTAAAAACAGTTGAGCAGACCCTATAAATAGCTTTTTCCAGACTATTATGTACTATTAAAAAATTAATGTTAAGACACTTTGTATCTATGGCAGTAAAAAAATTCAGTGTTACATTCTAGTGTTTTAAGGCCTCTGCTCAAATTAAAATTTCATCTAAGAAAACTTTATCACTTTGTAATTCCTCAAAAATCAGTGCAGTTAGCTCCTTGAAGCACTTTGGGGACAGAATGAATGTCAAATGGTGTTCATTTAAATGTATAACATCCAAATAAATCACTATTTTAGAGCATGAGTAATCTAACTTTGGATGGCAAAAACCACAGGCGCTGCATTTCAGATTGAGAATGTCTTTGTTTCTGAGAGTTAAGCTATCTTTGAAAGCTTTCTGACACTAATGTTCATGTTTTATAGCTTGCTTTAAATCTCATGCCTCAGTGGGTACCTATGAGCTAGCTGGCTTTTCAATTACAAATAACCCAGCATACAGATCAGTTTAAGTAACTAACTTCCATATGTGAATATTATCAGTTCACTTTATGCTTGCTTGCTTATAGTATTGAAAAATAGCAATTTTCCTCATTTGAATATGTTGATAAGATTTCTGGTACATCTTGGAGTGACTGTTCTCCTGGTTATTCTAGGCTTTGGAAGAAGTCTGAGATTATTTTACATTTGGCCTGTTCCACTTTATTATTCTGTACTACATACTAACAAAGACGTTATGGATATTCATGCTTAATCATATTGCTGTCTGTGGCAGTTCATAATAGCTGTTTGCTTGCTTTTATTTTATGTTCCAGCTTCTGGTTTCAGGGGTTTATGTAGGAGTCTCAGTCTGAAGGAATATTGTGCAGAATGTTAAAAAACAGAAGCTGAGGGCAGCATTAGAAGTAAAATGCAACAATCACAAGCATTTATTTAGTTTAGGACTTTTTTAGAAAGAGTCTTATGATTTTAGGAAATGGGATCCTGATGTTTGAACACTTGGTATTGTCCACACTGACACATATATCTGTATTTTCTCTTCCAAGACGAATCAGACAGATTTTCAAGCTGTTTTATAACAGATTTTCACCTCTGTACGTTTCTTCACATGTGGATTGTGGAACGTGCTTTGCTTTAGACAGCTGTCCAGTTTCACCACATCCCATATTCTGTATTTTCTCTTGAACGGCAGTATTCAAAGCTGTTGTCATTAATACTTAGCTGTGTTTGCACCAACTTGAGGCAGTTTGTGTTGTTGTCACTGTTCCTACAAAGAACCATGGATCACTGCATGCGCTGTACCTCAACAGTACATAGGAACCTTTGTCCTTTAACTGTGTGACATGCCTTTGAAAAGCAATTTGACTTTCTGGCCTACTAAATTTGAACAAGGGCTAGACAATGCTTTGATTCATACACTTGCATGGATAAGTGTCTAGTTACTTTAGACTAATAGAATTATTTTATTTTATTTTATTTTATTTTATTTTATTTTATTTTATTTTATTTTATTTTATTTTATTTTATTTTATTTTATTTTATTTTATTTTATTTTATTTT